CCCCCCGCCCCGACAACAAGGCCCTACTGTTCAGGCCAGCTCAGTGTCCTTCAAGCAGCCCCTCTCTTCGCCCAGATCTGCCCCTGCTGCCTGCCTCTCTGGGCAGCAGAAGAGGCCCCAGGCTGGGCCCAAGGGAGGTCAATCCCTGGGCTGGCATTTGGCCCAGTGGCCAGCCTTGGCGTCCTGCTCCGCCAGTTCACCAGCTCCTCCCCGAGGCAGCAGTCCTGGCCTGGCTCTCTGACGCCCAGCTGGATGTCCCAGACCGCGGAGGCGGCAGATTGCCAGAACCCAGCCAGGCTTTCCCCATGGAACCCCCTGCCACCAAAGGGCTTTCAGGAAGCTGGAAGGTGCTGCTGCTCTCCAAGAAGAGGGAGGGCTCCTTCCACGGCAGCCTTGCAGAGAAGGCTGGCCTGCCCTCCTGCGCCACCTGTTCCTGAAGCTGAGCCAGGACCACGGAGAAGAACCTGAGGGATGATTTGGGCACTTCACAGCACAGCCCACTTCACAGGCTTGATGTTGGGATAAACTGAAGAGAGATCTGCATCTCTGGAGCCCCTCGGACACAGCTAGATAAGCAAAGCCTGTTTCTGTCCGGGGAGCCGAACAGGTCAGCCGTGCCCCCCCCCCCATGTCTGCTGGGGCTCCCCAGAGGCCCCATGGGAACACCCGGCTCTCTCCGGCAGACTCACCACTTCATCTGCCGTGAAGTCAATGAAGCCGGGAAGGATCAGGAAGTCGCTGTGGAGGGAGAGGGAGAGAGAGAGAGAGGGGAGCCGTCACCCAATGCCCGGCCAGCCCAGAGGCAGAAGCAGGAGGCGGGCCTTCCCTGGCCTGGCAGCCGTGTTCATTTAGAAGATCAACATGGCATCCACCTTGCCGGGCACAACTCCGGGCAGCTTGCCACGACAATAAGGCCCAAACTCTGAGACCAGGCACCCGACCACCCATCGATCCAGGCAACCCCCAGGCCCAACCCTGCCCCATTCTGGCGCCTGGAGGAGCAGCCGGCCCTTTGCAGCTTTCTGGAAGGCTACGAGTGCCGGATGCTTCCAAGGTCCCACTAGACAGTCGCTCTTCGAGGATGGGGCCGCGCCCAACCTATCTACCCTGGTGGACAGGAGGCGTCCTCAGGGAGAGGCAGTCCCGCCAATTGATAAGCTGACCCCGTGCCACGCGGGGCTTCAAAGGGGCTAGCCACCCCTTGAATTGCATCCAGAAACTGGGAGCTGGTGCAGCGACAGTGTGACATGGGCAAACCGAGGGAGGCCCAGCATTGCGCAGACTGCTGTGTTCTGGGTTAGCTGTAACTTCTGGCTGGTCTTCAAGGACAGCCCCAAGTAGAGCGCATTGCAATCGTCTAGCTGGGAAGTGACCAAGGTGTGACTGACCGTGAGCAGGGCCTCTCGGTCCAGGAATGGGCGGAATCGGTGAAGAAGATGACTCTGCGCAAAGGCCCCCCCCCCGGCCACAGCCGCCACTGCTTCTCGAGCAGGAGCTGCGAGTCCAGGAGGACCCCCAAATCACAGTTCAACTCCACCATCCCGGCAAGAGTCAAAGATCACCCCTCACAGGCCCTCTGGGTCAAAAACCCAGAGCCACCCCATGCTGCAAGGGTTGAGTCGGAGCCGGTTCCTCCACACTGAGACCCTCACAGCCCCGGGCACTGAAACGGCCCGGGATGGAGAGGTGCAAGTGGGCATCATCAGTAAAGTGATGAGTCAGATGACCTGCCCAGAGGTTGCACGTAGCTGTGAAAGAGGAGGGGCGGGAGCCCCGAGCCCTGAGGCACAGCACACCCCGGGACCTAAGGCCAGACCTCTCCTGCCCAACAACAGGTACCAGCCACGGAGGAAGGAGGAGAACCACTGCAAGACGGCGCCTCCCGCCCCCAACCCCTGAAACTGGCCAGAAGGATACCATGGTCGATGGTACCGAAAGCCACCAAGAGATCCAGGAAGGTCAGGAAAGTCACACCACCTCCGTCCCGAGCCCTCCAGAGGTCACCCGCACTGTACTGTAACCCGGCCTGAACCCAGCCAGAAACGGGCGGGCAGCAGAGTAGGAGGCGGCTGGAAGACTGTTGACCGGCCACAGCGACTGTTCAGGATGAGGAGACATCAACGTCTGGGGGCCCAAACTCTGCGTGTGTGTGTGTGTGTGTGTGTGTACGCGCGTGTGCAGCTGCCCTCTGTAGCACAAACAAGAAAGCAGCAGCAGCAGCAGCAGAGGATTTAGGGCTTAAGGGCTGGGGGGCTGTTTCAGGTCGCCACCCCACCACCCAGTATGTGCTTTGAACCCAGCCATCGCTTTAAGCTGGGCCGTGATTTCTTTGTTTCCTCTTTGCATGACGTTTGACACAGACATGGGTTTTCTGTTCACTGGGTAGAGTTAAGAGTGGTACGAACTCAGGCCCTGAGCTGTGAACTGGGGGCCTTCGGATACCCCCAAGGGGCCTGAAGTTGGAAGTCATCCAACCTTCCAACAGAGGTTGTTCACTTGAGGAGATGCCAGAGGGCAAAGCCAACTGTGAACCCCCAGCCAGGTCAAAATTGCGAGGATTCCGTCAGGAAACAAAGGGGATCCAGACGCTGGAGGAAGCCTTCCCAAGACGTGCTTCTCAGAAACCTGCAGCGTTTCCTTCTCCACTTGACCCTGTGCTCAGCTGCAAGGCAGGAAGGGACCTTCTCCCTGGACAGCCCACACTCTCCTCGGGCACAGCAGACAAGCACCCTTCCCTTGCGCCGGGAGCAAGGGGCTGCTCCTCCCTCCGCGCACAGACCCCCACTCTAACCAGCCTGGATCCACCCTGGTCACAGCCCCCCACCCCTAATTTCCAGCAGAAAACTTGCAACAACAGCTGACCTGTAGGTATATATTCTCCCCTGGAAACATGAACCAAATGCATTTCATAGAAGGGACAATTTCTGCAACGCTCTGCATTCATTCAAACGAAGAGCACAAGCGGTGTGCTTATGGTGCCAATTTCATCCGGGACAGAGCCTAGCCCAGATCAGACCTGGTCCAGCTGCCACATTCCCACATACGCCAGACTCAAGACGACTGCCGGACACCCAGGCTGGTGTGAGTGCGTGACTAAAAGCCAGCGAGGCCACCCAACCCTCCAAGCGGAGGCTCTGGGCATGCCACGCACTGGCTCTGAGAACAAGCATCTTACTTAAAGCGCAGACTTCCGGCCTGTCCCCCAAAGAATTCTAGGCAGTGCTCAACAATTAACGATTAACAGAACGCACAATTGAAAAGAAGCAACCAGATAGCTCCGCAGATCAAACACTGCGATTATACACCAATCATTAAATAAATAAGGCCTTTATCAACTTCCACAAGGCTGTTGGGAGGAACCTTATGAGACTTATGTAAATAAGCGTCATAAGGAAACAGTCTGACCATCAACCCAGAGATGTTACAGCATTTTTTCAGCAGAAATTTAGGATATTTAACATTAAAATATAAATAAAATCGGTATTAATTAATTGACTCGTAGAGTTGGAAGAGGCTACGGACTTCCAGCCCGTAGGTTCAGGAATACCAGCCAAAGCCTCTCCAAGGGACAGAGGAAGGGGGCACCCCACCCCTCTGGGGCTCTGGCCCCACTCTCTAGCTGCTCCTGCAGCTCAGAAGGAACTAACTTTAATGGTTGGTTTTCTGTGTAAGAAATAATAGGTGCAACACCTGCTTTATCAGAAACCTTGCTTGACTGAGAAGCCGAGGCCAGAACTGAAAGGGAAGTCTCTGTTCTCGAAAAGGAAACTGTGTCCTAGAAGGAAGCCTCAGAGAGCAACCAGCGCTCTGAGGAGGGGCAAAGCATTTCAGTTGCACCCAAACAGCTGGAGGATGAAGGCCCAGGCGGGAAAGGGAGCAGCAGACATTCGGCGAAACTGAAAATCAGCTCAAGCTGGAAAACCCTGGTTGCTCATGCTGAGGGATGAGAGAGTCTCCTGGGACCACGTTTGTCTTCTTTGCTCACACTCCCTGCATTTCACACAGAGAAATTCTTCCAAATTTTGCTCAGCCACCTCCTTCATTCCTTCTCTTTTCTTAAAACCAGGGCCAAGAAATATCTCCGCTTCCATCAGAATTGGTACAATTATCTGCAAAGCTAAAAGGATCCTTGCTTCTCCCCTCCCCCTTTAAATTTTTTTATGGCTTACCCTGCAGGTTCCCTCAGGGCCCAAAGCCACCCACAATTTTAAACAAGGGACACCCTGCTTGAGACACCCAATCCTGGGCCTATCAGAACAGCTTTTTTTGCTCCAAATAAGGCCCAATCCACTTTATTCTTGCTCCCTGGACTTAGTCCCTGAAGTGCCCCTTCAGGGAAGGATGTGCCAAGTGCTGGGAATTCGGGAATTCAGGGACAAGACCCAGAAGCTAGGCTCCAAGGAGGGCGGGGAGGTGGCTGCTCTTCGGCAGGCGGCCCCTGCAAAGGTGGTTGAGAAGCCAGCCTCTCCCCTGCCCTCCGTCAGCCAGGAGGCGGGGGGCTAAGGCTTACCACCCAGGCCGCCCCAGCTACGCAGTGGTTGGGCCGGGACGCGAGCAGCTCCACCGGGGTGCACAGCACCCCTCCCTAGCAAATACTCCTGGAGCCTCAGACTTCCAAGACGCTGCGCACCAAACCGCGGTTCTGCGAGGCCCCTGCAGGCGGGCCTCTTCGCGTGGAGGGCAACCCCCTGCGGAAAACGGGCTGGGACCCTTTTCACGGCGGGGGGTCCGAGGTCCGGAGCCGGCCGCGGCG